AATATACATAATTTCAATAAGAAAGAAGATATCCATAATATTAACCTGAGAGCTAAGACCAAACTCATGGTACCACGATTTCGTCTAACCAAGGTAAACAACTCTTTTGTGGGAAACTGTATACGTTTTTACAATAAGATTCCGGAGCATATATTAAGTTTATCATTTCCTAAGTTTAAAAACTACATTATAAATATTTTGATCGAAAAATCATATTACAAAATTTAAGACTACGTGTTAGATAAAGATGTATGGAGAGACGACATGGCTCCAGAATCCACACAAATTTGATTCAAAGTGTATTCCATGGCATTTAAGTTTATTTGAAAAGAGCATCCCTAGAGTTTCTTGCTCGTTCTTCTCAGGGAGGTCAGTAGCTTAAATGTGACGTTTTCAAGTGTAAATTTATTTTACCTATGGAATATATAATCTGTGAATTTGACTTTGTAGCCCAATTGGTAGAGCGGTAGCCACGTTGAGGCGACAGACGCTGGTTCGAGTCAAGTCGGATCGAAGGGTTTTTTGTGCTTAATCTTTTTTATTAATACTTTAGATTATTACTAAAAAGATATTTTAGTGTATAGGAAATGAAACCATATTTCCGGATTTAAATCGCGTATATTTGTTTTTTCAAACAAACCCCAAACTGGTGGTATGCTTAGAAAAATATGCGTTATTATTTTAAGGTGGTACGGAGAAACCATCTTCCCGTTGAAATTAGGATGTTTTTTAATTTCAATGGCCTCTCGCAGCATCCTGGGTACATAACGGACTTCTTTTGCAAGGACTTGGGGTTTGACAAACTTCATTGAATGTGTAGGTTTATCCACGACATGCTCGCAGACTGCAGACTTGTTTACGCGACGGTGTTTGACATCAGTTATATATTCTTTGACGCGGGTACAAATACTTCGCTTTGTTTGTCCGATATAAGAGAGACCGCACTCACAGTCAAGTTTGTAGACTCCTGCATCCTGTAAGGGGATGTTACATTTCACGGGTCTCAGGATCTGGGAAATCTTCCTCAGGGGACCCTGAAATAGGTCCTGATAGATGCGCGCCTGAGGACTCGTCCGATCTTGTCTATAACACCTCTCACGTAAGGTAAGATGGCAGGTCTTCGCTCGACTGTTGGTGGTTTCACACGGGGTCTGCGGCATTGGCGTGGAATCTTTAACTTATTCGCATGTAGGACGTGCTTTATATGCCGAAGTTCCCTTGCCAATAGATTACTGTCGCTGACACCATGTGCTCCCTGAAACAAAGATTTGCCCACGGTAGCTAACTGGCTAGATATTTTACTGTAGTTTGTGCATATGGCACCTGGACCCCGATTCAGAACTTTTCGATATTTTAACCGATTCCTTCGATTGGATATTGTTCTCCGAAGGGCGCTTTCCAAGCTTTTCAGAACATTCCGAGTTAAACGTTCAATTCGGAGTCGGATACGATATCGTTATCCAACAGCGTTTACGGGGTTATTTATTAGTCGGTGAAATAGATTATAAGAAAAATGAAAATTACTTTATATACATTTTTAAAACTTTAAAGCCCTTAAATATAGGAATGCATCAGTTTTGTATCTTGTATTTAAATAAATTGATAAAATTGAACAAAATTCAGGCTTTATTTAAAATAATAAGAGATTTCCATATTATATATACATTCTTGGTTTGTAAACAATAGGACGTTCGGTAACTTTCATTCGATAACTGTTCTGAATAACGTTTCTAGCCTTTGCCGGTCGAGAAGTTTGAGTAATCATACGGGTGTGACGTCATTTCAATTCGGTTTCGAATACGACAGTTTGACGCTCGATTCGGGTGTTGTGAATACAAATGAAAAGAAACCTTACGATATCAAATCGAATCGATCGACAACGTATTTATTTTGTTTAGAATTAATGATGGCACTGTGAAGAATAATTTGTATATGATGTTGTACTTTCTGCAATGCATTAGGTATTACAAGACCCAGAGCTCATAGCGATGGCAGCAGAGTACGAAGATGCTAAGCCTCTTACGGGTAGAATAGAAGTCAAAATAAATCGATTTGCGGTAAGTTTCATGTGAAGTGAAAATACGGATTGATTTATTTTATATAAATACATATTAAAAGCCGTGGGGTCCAATCCGGGCTCGTACCTCTGAGTTACTCGGAATAGATATACGACATGTAATTTGTATACCAAGAGGTTGTCGGTGTAGGAAAACATTGTGACGAAACTTGCGCGTCGAAGAAGGTTCACAACCGGTATAGGACCAGCGTGGCGGACTATGCCAAGCAGTGGGACGTATAAACAGGTTGATAATGATGTGAATATGAAACTGCACAAGATTTCCTGCTCAGTTTTGCTTAGTCGATAGGTACAGCCGGTTATAGTAACCGTTTTCAATTCTCACTATTAATATTAATTATGTCGATATAATTGTCGACTGCTCCATTTATACCGTAATCTGACTTAGAACTTTTTGCAGCGAGAAATAAAAGACAGTTTCGTAATTTTGAATCGATCCGACGACAAGCGAGACTATAAGCTTGCATTTGATAATATGGGATTTCTTCGGTGAGTGGACGTAGTTGGGACAATTGGTCATTATAACTTTATGTGTTCAGGACTATATCTATCTTTAACTAAATTTTGTTTTAGACACATAAACTATTTGTTCCTTCCAATATCCATCACGCCGTACGGGTTTTTCCTTAAGTGTTGGTCGTTGCTTCGCTTTTTCGTTGCACTCTTCTATATGTTCGTTATACCGTATAATATTGCTGTAAGTATAAAATCTATGCTGTCATATATTAACACTATGTTGTTTCCGAGCCATAGGTAGTTTTAAATATTATCACTTGCTTAAACGATTAAGGAAAATATCGTGGTGAAACCTGAATTTTGGATAAGGTTAACAAATTGCATTGCGGTGGTTTTGCACGGTACGGGTGCTGGTGAAGGAAAATTAACTTTGTGAACTTACACCTCTTGGTCACGGGCACAGTGGCAGTGCCTCTAATATTTAAGAGTATCTGCGCGCAGATAATTAACAACATTACAATTTGACACAGAACCCACGTTGACAAGGTCACCATGGCGACTGACAGCGGGCGGTGCGTCGTGTTGTTAAACGATGGGCCATTTTTAAGTTTTGGGATAAATGTGAATTTAATAACAATAGGGCTTAAAAAGAAACATCTACATTTTAGCCTGTTTTCGGGATTTTTTATTATTGGGTAATATAAGGATATTGTCTAAAGAAAATGCTAATTTGTTAATTTGTTACTTGTATATGTTATTTGAGGTGTATCGTATATATTTTGTAAGACCGTTGTTTAATAGTAAATACCTAAAACATTTGATCTATCAAAACAGTTTTCTCTGCATCTCTTCCGGTGACTCGCCTTCAAGCTCTGAGTGGTGGTGCAATTGTCATGGATAGGCGTGTCGCTTACTACCAGACGCACCACTTCTTCATCTCGTCACTTGATGTCATAAAAATGTATTCGAAGACGTGGAAAGTCCATATCTGCCGTCCACTATCAAATCTCCGTTGTAAATAGGACAAGATAGATTACAAAATTCTCTTTTAAAACAGTTAAAATTTGTTAACGTGTTCGTTTTATCGGAACCTACCCTGACGATGTATAGCTGAAATATCATTAAACAATATCAATATTCTAAAACAGGGTTGTGGTTTTTTGTGATATATTAAAAAAATATTATCACTTAGCCGTATTTTACTTAGCGGATGGTAGATATACGAGTAGTCTCCCATAGGAACAGCGTGATGGCGTAGACTCTTCAAACTCCGATTGCTAGGCACCTGACGTATATGCGTTGATACTTACCTACAGTCGTTGAGATTTGCGTCAAAGAAATACGGGTGAAATAAACCTACTAAAATTTACAATTGATATAGTAATATCAGTACAGGATCGGAAGCACGCCAAGCGTTTCATTCAGGATTTAAATTTAACTCTATACCAAATATAAATATCCAAAGTCCTAAGAGTGAAGTTTGATGTGCTCTTGATTGAAAAATAAACTGATGATTTTACAGATAAAACGGCACAGATTTGGTTCCAGAGTCATGTACATGGATTTATTTTTGTACGTTGACTTGATAGTAATGGCGTACGTGGGTTATTACGATGAGAAGTCTCTCCTCGTGAAGCATCCTCTCTATACAGTATCGCGATATATAAAGACGACATTTTTTTGGGATGTAATCGCTATATTCCCTTTTGAGCAATTGGTGAGTACACAATATGCGTGTGTTTTTAATACGAATAATAAAATTTCATAATTATCATAAAGTGTTTTACCCTCAATGTTAGTAGCAGTAGAAGTTGTGAAAGAGTTCGTCCAGGAAAGTACTGGCATCTTACCTGTTTCTGCCGTGAAGCAATAACGTGAGCCTTACTTCGGTCCAGTTTTAAAGGGTAATGGTGCTGATGTAATTGCAGGCACATGAGACATGTCAACTTATTGTTCTGGGCGGGGTCCCTCAGATCTTTTCGATTGGAGACCTTGAGTGGCATTGCAACTGTCATGGATAGGCCTGTCGCTCACTACCAAGCGCACTAGTCTTTCATCCCGTCGCTATACCATAAAAAATGATATTATTTTGCCGTATGTTTCATCTCCATGTTATAGGATTTGCATGAAACATTACGCGTCCACGTTTATACGATGTACCGTTATGAAGTGGAACTCCCTGCTGCAAACTGTCCTAAACGCTATTTTTAACTTTTCATTACTTAAAGTTAAATTTCAGCTACCCATTCATGAATCTTTAGGTTCAAAAGTAATTTCAGTAAGGTGTATACGTTGTCATATATCGCACATGAAACCTAATACTGTCGTAACTTAAAATTGTGGAATGGAGAAAACAAAATTTTAAAATTAAGAAAGAAATGCATCTTATTGCGAATAATGTGATTATTTTTATTTATACATAATACGTAATTATCCATTTTTTTAATTTTCTAATCGTGTTTCCTTAATTCTACAATTTCGGGTTACACTTAGACAACCACAAATGACATCCAAACTCACGAGAGAAATAAATGTAAGCCATACAAATATTTCTCTCGGGCCGGGAATCGAACCCGGGTCCCCCACCCGTGCTCATGCGATAGAGTTTTTACGGTTTAGAGCGATCTATTTAAATATTTTTATTTATCTATGAAAGTAAATGTGATGAATTATTGAAAGTCCTGGAACAAAAATTGTTGTTGTAGCTTGTTACTTTTTTTTTCAACTCCTTTTCAAAGTGCTATTGTACCTCTATAATAACATCTTTATAGATAATAAAGAAATTTGATCCTCCGGCAGTTTATACGTCGTAAAATTATAAACATAGTTACGTACTTAAATTCTGTATATAAGATACTTAGTTATTTTATTTTTTGTTTATTTTGTTATGTTTGCGTCTAGAAGCTTATAAAAGAGCTGCAATAGAGCATATGTGGCGTTAGAGGCACCACTATTAATTTTCATACGCGACACTGGAAATGTAAAACATCAACGTGCATTTAGAACTTATTACAGGACAGAGATTTAACGCAATTTTTTGAGAAAAAATCATCAGAAATCATTACTATAATATTATTTGTTATATTGAAAAGCCGAAACTTTCTAGTTTGATGATTTCTTTTTTGTTAAAAAAAATTCTTCAAATCGCTCTCCTGTAATATTTTCCAAATGCACGTTAGACGTTTTACTTTTTAAACGTCGACAATATCAAGAGGCGCAGTCGCAGCACCACTGTCGTGACACACGCGCACCACTTTTGCAGTAACAATTAGTGAAGTAAAGACGTAACGAGTGGCGGCTGCGCCGTAGTTGCGACACTGCTGCGCTTCTATAAGCGTCTCTTTTGTACTTTTGTAGGCGCCCTATCTGCGCTGTTAGGGAATATCTTTTATTGTGTACAGTACTATCTATTTTATTAATATCTTTCGGCAGTAATCGTGATTTGGCTGTCGTCGTATTTCTGTCATTTGCCTTGTGCATTTATTGCATGCCGGACGCACTTAATAGACTTGAGGAAATGTATGGAGTAGCTACTAACTACGCTTTATTATAGTTATATATTTTTAAAGGTCAGACAATAAATTGAAAATTAAAGATCAATCAATATCAAAACTGGATAAATACTTTATGATTCATTTTTGGTCGCATTGTAAATAATAATAATAGTAAATCTTTCATTATGACGTCTTGTGTCTACTTGTCAGGGATACAAAATAATTATAATAATAATTTAAAAATTAGTTGTATTGTGTAGTAGTGTAGTTGTATATAGTGTGTTAGTAGGTACATACTTGATCAAAACAAAAAGTACATAGGTCGCTCGAGAAGCTGACTGCTACATTGACTCACCAAAACCTCAACCTAAAAGATGAAATGACTCAGAATCGGGACATCGCGCTTAGTAGCAAACATTTTCAGGATGTTGTTAGAACTTGTACGCAGTCTCAAGAGTAGTGACGCTGTTATTTATCTGCCTGTATATATTTAACTGCCTCCGTGGCCGGACGGTTACCATGCCGGACTGCCATGTAGAGGTCCCAGGTTCGATTCCCGGGCCGGGAGAAATATTTGTAAAGCCCACATTTGTTTGTCTCGTGAGTTTGGGTGTAATTTGTAATTGTCTATTTGTGTGTCCATGGCTTCCGCGACACAGGGTTTCCCTAGTGCGGGGCTATGTCGAGTGTGTGCGTTATTATTACTATTAGTTATCACATCACAGCAAAAAAGTTATCAACTTCTACTAGAACAAACATTAAGTATGCGCTATAGCGCCGCGTTAGTTCCAACAGCATCCTGAAACCGTTATTATATTGAATACACAAGGCGTTGTGAAAAGACAAAGAAGAAAACTTTATTTAATTAAAATTTTTAACTTACTAGGTACATTGTTAAACAGTAAACGCTACTAAAAAGCGAAATGGTTTTACTACTCTATACAGTTCACAAGGAAACCAAAACTAAACAACAATAAAGTACGTAGTTCTGAATTCAAATTATGGAAATTTGTATTCGGGTGCATTCTAAAGCTGAAAATTGCCGAGAGATATTAAGAAGATAGTAGTTGTACTGTACTTGTTACTCAAATAAACGAATACTGAATACAAAATGACGTGACCGAGAATTATTTTTAACTTGGTAATGTGTCGTTTCAGTTACGAACGGTAAACGATTCAGTGGACTTGGATTTCTTCCGCCTTAATCGAATCTGCCTGGTAAGAAGTAACAATTCATACAGATCTGTCATCGAGTATAGTGCAATTACGCGTAACTAGCATTTGATTATTAGTTTTTATTTCTGTAATTTAGCCGCAAAAAGCCAAATCCGCGTAAATGTCGTAGCAACCAAATTAGCGTGATTTACGAATCATCTAATCTAATTTAATCTATTCTCTCCTCTCTAGGAATCTATTGTTATCAATCCGTAGACAGCATAAATTAATGCTTACTATGCACAAATAAAAGTCGTAGCCATTGAAATAACAAAGTAATAACGCTAAATCCCTCTCCCATGAAATTTGGTTTGGTGCAGATACGCGCTTTTTACCAATATATTTTACTCGGATATGCACTATCCCCGACTTACTTCTATATCATGAAATTAAATTTACGATATATTTATGTGACACTTTTGAGTAATTAATAGATCTTGATTTTTATGTAAATATAAAGGATGTGATGTATATTTACAAGGCACTTAAACAAAAATATGATACCAGAAAAAACTTCAGTATTATGAAAATTTAAATACTAGAATAAAATATTAAGACATTTGGTAGCAGTTGTGAAAGAGTTCGTCCAAGGTAGTACTGCCACCGTACCTATTTCTGCCGCCAAATACCATATCTATTAATGCCAGGATTACTGTGTTCTGGTGGGTTGGTCCTCCGCTGGGGTCCACGTCATGGAGCCCCGCCCCATGCGCTGCTTCAAGTGCATGGGGATTGGCCCTCTGGGATTGGGCTCTGTTTCAGGTGTGGCTAGGCGGGGCACACGGCTTCCGGGTGCACGGCGACCCCACGGTGCTCGGTCTGCACCGCGGCTCGCCGCCCAGCGGACCACGTAATGGGGGGGCGATCGTGCGCTCCCCCCCCACCAAGGGCAAGCCGACGGGGACCTCCGGCTCCCCCCCTATTGAGGGACAAAGTATGGAGCAATAATGCCAGCACGCCACCATACTATACTGCAGGGCAACCTCAACCACTGCGCCAGGGCACAGGACCTAATGGTCCAGGCCATGGCGGAGCGGGACGTTGCGGTAGCTGCTGTGGCGGAGCCCTACTTTATCCCCCCGCGGGGGAACTGGGCGGGGGACCGGGAGGGGGACCGGGAGGAGACGGTGGCCATAGTGGCGTCGACTGACGGAAACTCCCCCCCTCTAGTGGTGAAGGAACGCGGGTTAGGGTTCGTGGCGGCGAGGTGGGGAGAAGTCATCCTAATTGGGGTGTACTTCTCTCCAAACCGTTCCCTGGCCCAATTCCAGGCGTTCCTGGAGACCCTACAGAGGGCGGTGAGGAGGGCAGCTCCGACCCCGGTGTTGGTGTTGGGGGACTTCAATGCCAAGAGCGTGGCGTGGGGTTCTCCGGTCACCAATGCCAGGGGGCCAGAGTTGGAAAATTGGAAGTCTTAGGGCTAGCCATCCTCAACCGGGGCCATGCCAACACGTGCGTTCGGCGAAATGGGGGGTCAATCGTGGACGTCATGTTTGCGACCCCCTCATTAGCGGCGCGAGTATCCGGTTGGCAGGTCCTGGAGGACGAGGAGACCCTCTCCGATCATAAATACATACGGATGAGGGCCTCCCTTACGCCGCCCATGACGGCCTCCAACACGGCCCCCGGGGGAGGCTTTTCCAAATGGGCACTCACCCGCCTGGACTATGAGCTTGCAGAGGAAGCAGCCATGGTCCAGGCGTGGTGCCCCCCCCCCCCACCGGCCACCGTCGACGTGGAGCAGAGTGCGGTCAAGTTCAGGGAAGACTTGACCGCCGTCTGTGAGCGGGCCATGCCCAGGGTCAGAGGGACCCCGGGCAAAAAGAGTGTGTACTGGTGGACCGCGGAGATTGGGGACCTCCGCACCGCCTGTACCACGGCCCGGCGGGCCTACGGCCGATGCCGCCGCAGGCGCCACTCTCAAAGTGAGGAGAGAAGGCTCCACAGCGCCCTTCAGGGTGCGAGGCAGGCCCTGAAGGTCGCAATAGGGCGGGCCAAGGACTCTGCGAAAGAGGAGTTCTTGGCCACCCTGGACGCGGACCCATGGGGGAGGCCGTACAAAGTTGTGCGCAACAAAATGTACGGCGCATCTCCCATGGAGTCACTGGAGCTGGATCTCCTCAACCGGGTGGTGGAGGGCCTTTTCCCCGAACCGCAGCCCTTCACCCCACCGGCCATGGTGCCCCCCAGAGCAGACGGGGGGCAGACTGAGGAACCCCCCCGGAAATCACCGAGGGGGAGTTGGAGTGGGCGGTGGGACGGCTGCGGGGGCGGAAGAAGGCTCCCGGCCCAGACGGGGTACCGGGACGAGTCCTTCGCATTGCCCTGAAGCATCTCGGGACCCGCCTCAAGCATCTCATGGATGACTGCTTGAGGACGGGGTTGTTCCCGAGATGCTGGAAGGAGGGAAGGCTCGTCCTGGTGCCCAAGCCGGGCCGACCTGCGGATTCTCCCTCGGGGTTCAGGCACCTCGTCCTGTTGGACGAGGTGGCGAAGATCCTGGAGCGAATCATCGCCTCCAGGATCAACGAACACCTGAGGGGGACAGGCCCCGATGTGTCGCAGCGGCAGTACGAGTTCAGGACTGGACTCTCCACCCTGGACGCCCTGGAGTCGCTGCGACACATCGTGGAGGAGGGAAACGGCGAGGGGGAAGGCGTGGTGGCTGTGTCGTTAGACATAGCCAACGCTTTCGGCACTCTCCCCTTCGCCGTTATCAGGGAGGCGCTGAGGGGCGCGCTGCTCCCCCGGACGGCGGTTATCGCGTACGCCGATGACACGCTGGCGGCTGACCACCTTCCAGGAGGCGGCCCGAAGAGCAGGGCAGGGCAGGGGCAGGCGCCCACATCTCCATCGCGGGAGTATCGGTCCCGGTCAAGTCCCAGGTGAAATATCTGGGACTTGATATTTCATCTGGGACGATGGAACTTCGGGGAGCATTTCCGGCAACTTGCTCCCCGAATAGTGGGCGCCGCATCGGCGTTGGGCAGGCTCCTGCCCAACCTCGGGAGGCCGGGAGCCCCATGCAGAAGGCCGGGGTGACCCGGAGTATGGCCTTATACGGGGCTCCCATTTGGTGTGGGGCCTTATCAGCGGCGACGAAGGCGCTGCTGAGGAGGCCCCAGAGGGTGGTCGCCCTGAGAATGTGCAGGGCGTACAGGACGGTGGCCTGCGCTGCCGCATGCGTCCTCGCCGGTACTCCGCCGTGGGACCTCGAAGCCGAGGTCCTGGCGGAGGTCCGCACCTACCGGCGGGGAATGAGGGACCGAAGCGAGCGACCCGCTCCCCAAGAGGTGGAGCGGGAGCGCCGCCTCGCGGCGCAGCGCATGCGGGACCGGTGGAAAGAGGGCTTGGCGGATCCCCCCTATGGCGCTCGTACCATAGAGGCGATCCGCCCTGTCCTCGTAGAGTGGGTAAACCGGTCCCACGGGCCACTGTCGTACCACCTTGTGCAGGTGCTGACCGGGCACGGCTGCTTCGGTCACTACCTGCACAAGGTGGCGAGGAGGGAACCGTCCCCGTCGTGCCACGAGTGCGGCGCTGCGGATGACACCGCGCAGCACACCCTAGAGGTGTGTAGCCGGTGGGATGAGCAGCGCCGCACTCTGACGGGGACTGTAGGGCAGGACCTCTCGCTGCCGAGCGTGGTTGCCGCCATGCTCGATAGCGAGGAGTCCTGGGAGGCGGTGGCCTCCTTTTGCGCAGAGGTTATGTCGCGAAAGGAGGCCGCGAAGCGGGTGCGCGAGGACGCGGCGGACGCGCACCCGCTCCGGCGCAGACGTACGGGGAGAAGGCGAAGGCAGTTCGCTGCTCGCCTGATCCCCTAGTGAGTCCAGCAGGCTCTGGACAGGGTCTCCGGAGCCTGCATTGCACGGCCTCACTCATCTGGGGGGCGGGTCGGAGGACAACCGACTCGCCCCTCCGTTGGCGCGGGAGCCCTGGCGTAAGCTAGGGCGGCCGGGCGGCGTCGTGGTGAATGTTCACTGATCCCACGGCGCCGACTCAACCGGCGAGAGGGAAACCCGGGGAGGTTTTAGTGGGGTAGGCCCTCCAGTCTGGAGGGAGAGTCCCCACATAACCCCTGAGTCTCCCTGGGCTCAGGGGTATCCATAAAGATTACCCCCCGTCAAAAAAAAAAAAAAAGGATTACTGTGTTCTGGTTTTAGAGGGTAAAAAGGGTGCTGGTGAAATGACAGGCACAGTAGTCAACTTATATTTCAGGGTGACGGGCAGTGGCACTGCCCCTTAGATCTTTGTGATTTAAAGCTCTGAGTGGCACTACAACTGTTATGGACAATCATGTAGCTTACCATCAGGCGCCTGACTTGTTCGTTCCGTCACTAGATATTATATACAAAAAAAATTATATACTCAGTATTGAGTACTGAACAAAAGTTGTTGTTTATGATGTTGGTAATATTCCTGTCCTATTTTGGTAACATCCTGGGAGGTTGTTAGTATTTTACAAATTTTATAATCTTGTATACACACCCAAATTATGATGTATGTAAATATAACATTCGACATGAAATGCCAATGAATACACTATATGCAGTTCTGAATTTCTTTATAAAATTGATAGACGTAAATTTTCAGGTGACCAGGCTTACAGGAGCCTTTGAATACTGGGAAAGTGATATAATGAATATAAACCCAGCATTAGTGATGTTTAAGTTTCTACCTTTGGCAATGACGTTCATAAACTTCATGACGGCGTTCATATTTATGAACTCGTGTAAACCGTTCGTTAAACGGGATAATATCACGCATTTTTCGTTTGCGCCGAATATTCGTGTCAATTGTACTAAAACTTTGGTTTTGTCTAGCACTGAGAAATATGTTGAAGCAGGTACGTGTAATGCTGATCTAATTGAAAGCTATTATGTGCTCAAAACTCATTCGTTCATGCCTGAATTCCTCTTTTGAACTATGTGCTTTAGAATTGTGCTCGTTTGAACTTTATTCATGGTATGCATTATATGAGTTTAATAACATTTTAGATGCGTTCGACGAGTACATTTATACTGGATTGTGGGTTTTTGAATTATTCATGGGTAAGTTTTGATTTTTGTTTCATACTGCTTTCAAAATTATTAAATTTAAAATTTACTTTTCTAATATATGGTTGAAATCCATACAGGGTGTGGGTGTGCTCCAGTAATGGTGACAGGGACCACAGACGCGGTGTTGGTGATGATATTACAGATTGTTGGTCTGCTGTACTTCGCGTTCATGGTCGGATTCATTATCTCCTTACGCTCTGCTTCTGCTCATGCATTGCTTGATCATACTGTGAGTAGACAGCGACCAAGAAATTAGATCCTACCACAAGGACATAAATGATAGAGACCAATCAGGCCTAATTGATATTAATTATGCGAATTATATATAAATATATAATTTGCATCACAATCTTAAGATATATTTTCGTGTAGAATCTTAATTAAAACTTTGCCCCTTTTGTACATTTTCCGCCAACACTGTTGAACTGAAATTACAAATTTAGGTTCCACTGTATTGAAAACGTCTTATCTATACAAAAACTAAACTATGCTGTTTATTCATAATATCATTCGCGTACAATAACGGTATCGTCCTTTCGTGATAGAGAAGGTTAACTCGTTAAAAATAATAGCCATAATACAAAGTTACATTAGTTTTAATGAGTTGCTTTCGCATTGTAGGAAAACACGAGAGATCTAACCAACTTTCTGTATCAAGAGAACGTGGACCCGATGTTAATTGCAAAAACGGTGAAGTATTTTGAATATGTATGGAAGAGAACGGATGGCAGCAATCCACAGGTAATATGAACTTTTGAAATTCGGTTAGAGATTACGTTATTTGAGGGAATACATCCCATTGTTTTACTTACCTACATGTTTATTTACTAGCAAATATGTCGCTGCTTGAACTCCGCACTTATGGAAGATACCCTCGTCTTCATGTATGAACACGCTCTTCGTGAGGTGCCGTTGTTCGGCAAGGTCGAGCGTTCTTTTATTAGAGTAATCACTCAACATCTGAATGAGATGTACTTCCTCAAGGGTGAGACTGTCGTGCAGTACCGAGACGTGCAGACCAATATCTATATCATTTATAGAGGGAAGGTAAGGAATTACGAACTTTTCTTGTACCCTTTAAATAACTGCAATGAAGGTCCACAGAGTTTGAACCTCGTGCATAACGAGCTTATGTATCGTTAATAAGGAAAACATAGGAAAACATACTATGTAACTTAGGTCACGTAGAAATTTAGGTCAAAAACTGTGTGTTGATTTCAGCGCCTCTGTTTGCAGGTGGATGTTCTGAGTTCATTTAATGAAATGGTTACTTGTATGGGACCTGGAGGCATGTTTGGCAATTTTACTGGGGTAATCTTTACTCTTATTTTCAAGATCAAAAAAGAAACTCTCAAAATGGGAGGGAAAAAAAATCATAATTACTTAGTATTTATTTTACTTTTAGCAACCAATATCATGTTCAGACGTATCAATCTACGCTAGTCGAAGCTTGGACTTGCTGGTTATTCCTTGTCAATCGTTTTTCAATTTGGTGAAAGTATATCCCAAAATCCAAGAACTCCTTAAAAAGGCTTTGGAAAATTCAAAGGACTACATTTTGCCCATATCTATGGATAATTTAGAAGATAGTTCCAGCGGTATGTTCCATCATAGATCAATGCAGAAATTGTTTTTGATGTGTAAGTAGTGTAACTACGTAAATATTTTTACAGTAGAATCAGATTTGGAAGAAGCCGATTCAGGACATGATTCCATAAGTGGATTTGAGGAGCAATTAGGTAAGGTTACAAGATTTTTGTATTCTTGCCGTAATGTGAAGTAATCTTAAATATCAATTACCTCAAACCGTTACGTTGAAAATGGACTTAAGGTTATTTTGAAGACGGGACGTGGTGTAATCTTTACTTACCTTTTAATCTTCTGTAGTAAAATATGATATTCTTTGAAATTCATCTAGGCACACGTGCTGGGATGGTATTGTATGTATTATTCTCAGTTTTATGCCACCACAGACTCTTTACTTATTATTGATACAAAGATCGAACACAAAGAAAAAATCCTTCGATGTGAGTGGACTCGGGCTCGAGCAGTCTTTGCCATCATCCCAGGCATGGCCTAGACCACCGCTGTTAACCAATTGATCTACAGACACGAGTCAGCAGATCTTACGAATTTCTCTGTGTTCGTTAAATATCTTTGTATTGGATTAAAAAGACTTTTTTCGTCTATTTACTTATTGACGACTTCGGCGGCCCAGCGGTTAACATTGTGTGGACTAGATAAGGTGGCCAGGAGGGAGGAGGAATCGAACTCGTTCCTGGGCTCCAATTTGGGATTTATTATCATGTTTATAATTTCGTTGCACATTCATAGTGCAGGGAATTTCCTAGTTTGAGAATCGATGTGGTTGTCTGACAGTATATATTTTTTCACAGAGACGCATATTCAAATGCAAAGGTCATTCACGGAGATGAGCATGGCTAAGTCCCAATCCAGTATCGGAACCTTCCAAAGCTACTCGCACATTCACAACCTGGTCAGACCCGGATCCTGGCTTTATCAGGTTACTTAAAATATATTTAATAAAAATAAGAAAATCTGAAAACCACAGACATATATCTTGATAGACGCCACAAGTACAGCAATTTGTGTGAAAACCAAGCGTGACACATTTTTTGTACCCACTGTGACGTCACAAGAACTATTTAGTATCGCTTCCCGCTCGCTCTAAATCGATTGATTGAAGGGAATACGCGTAAACACGCGTATTCCATTTAATTAATCGATTCTAAATAGAATAATTATTGTTCAAGTATTTGTTGATTACAAGTAGTCGTAATATTAATATAGTAGAAAAATACTAGAATAAGACAGTTAAGTCCTTTATTTTACGCG